GGATCCACAGGAGGAATTGTGGGTATGGGGAGCAGGTGGCATATGTGGGAGTGATTGGGGGGTGGGGGGCAGGTGGCATCTTCAGGGGAAGTGGGGAGGGCAAGCAGGATCTGCAGGAGTGATTGATGTGGAACAAATGATGTCCACAGGAGCAATTGGGGGGTGGGGAGGGTAGGCAGGATCCACGGGAGCGATTGTGGGGGTGGAGGGAGGCAGGCTACGTCCATAGGAATGATTGAAGGGGTGGCAGACAGGCAATATCTGCAGAAGAATCAGGGCACAAGCAGGATCCACAGGAAGGATTGGGGGCAGGTGGGATCAGCGGTGGTAAATGGGGTCCATGAGGTTGTTGGTGGAGTCCAGGAGGGTTAGGAGGATCACAGGGGCTCACAGGGTCTGTGAGGGAGCTTGAGAGGAACCATAGGCTATGTTTAGCCCCCCAACATCCTCCCCAGGGAACCTGCGACTTTGTACCTCCCACCCCTCTCCCTAGGGATACTTTGGTCAGCTCCTGGCAGCAGCATTGATAAAACTGGCACGGGGAGTGACCTCTGGAATGCGGGGGCTGGCTGGTCTATGTGGGGACATGACAAAGGGCTGGGGGGCTAAAAATAGCCTGGTGCCAGGGCGACAGGTATGAAAAGCACAGCCCTGGGACTGGGGCCAGAAGCTGGACTTTACCAGTCATGAGGCTGCACAGGTAACTATACTGAAGTTCCATGAACTAATCTAACCTAGATCAATTAAGTTTGTGTGTACATCGATCTATCTTAGACCATGTTCCATCATTTTTAGACCTTTCTATTAGGGGTGTGCAAAGCTTCGGTCGCTGATACAATTCGGAGAAGATTTGGCCCTATTTGGAGGTCGAATCACCAAATCCAAATTGAATTGGGAGACAACCCCAATCAATTTTGAGCCTCCAAATCGATTCGGAAAAAGATTTGGAGATTTGGCAATTCGGAAGGCAGTCTTGCGGGGAGGTGGGGTGGGACTGATATCTGTAGCTGGCCAGTGACTGTGATCTTTCCTTGAGTCCCCTTCCAATCACAGTGCTCTGGGGGTAGGACGTAGAAACAGCACATAAGCCTCTGTCTGCAGCCTTTCTGTCCCTTTTGTGAGCTGTTTCTACCTGAGCATTGGGCCCCCTGTTACAGGCTACCATACCTGCTGTTTCCATCCTGCTGTGCCTTAACACACACACTCGCCCATGTCACAAGTTTTGCTTGTCAGCACCTTGAGGTGCAGTTTCCCAGAAACCCCTGCACCTATCTCCTTGAAACCGAGCAGGCCTCATGCCCTCAGAAAGGGCTACCATCCCTGCTGTTTTCATCCAAATCTGCCTTAACATACACACATGACACGAGTTTTGCTTTCAGCATCTTGAGGTGCAGTTTCCCAGAAACCCCTCCACCTATGTCCTTGAAACTTGACAGGCTTCATGTCCTCAGAAGGGGCTACAATCCCTACTGTTTTCATCCAAATCTGCCCCCGAATGACAAAGTTATAGGTATTTCAGTGATTCCCCATTATAATCTACGGCTGAATCACCGAATCTCTCTGAATCAGTGCAGAATTGATTCGGGACAGTGATCCAAATCTCTGAATCGAATCATTGTCCTGTGAATCAGCCAGATCCGAATCCGAATCGAATACTTCTCTTTGCACAGGCCTGCTGTCTATGTGTGCAGAACTTCTGTACTATTACAGGTTTAGATTGATTTCCAATCATTGAGATCAAGTGTAAGTGTAAGGTCTACACCTGCGCAAACTGTTAGTTTGGGTGGCCCTTTTTAACCCAATCTAACCCCCAGCCCTGCCTCCCCCGCCCAATGTCTGCACTTAGCTGTGAGGGCTAGAAACGAATGTTGCAGTGCTTGGCTGTTTTGAATTAGCATGGACTGCAACATTGGTGTCAGTTTTCAGATTTCAAAGTTATGGAATTTTAAATTGAGAAAAAAAAAGTTATTACATCACTAAAGTAAGGCTGGCTTCTTCATTCACTTTGGATTTACTTGCGGGTAAATTAGAACAGAAGGTGGCCCATACTTAGTGCAGTGCAGTACAGTGCTAAGCAAACACTACAAAATAACTTCAGTATGCTCCCAGGGCTAGGGGCCTCATTCTGATTTCACACCAATATAAGTCAGGAACAAATCCATTAGAATCAATGGAGTATTGTGAGATCAGTATCACACACATTGTCTGGAAGGAGGGAGCACATCCTGACACTGTATAGTGATCTCTCTGACTAACTAACGAACTCTGCAAGGAACAATGTCCATATCTGCTTTGAGCCAATTTTTGCCTCATCTCCTCTGACAGCCAGTATTTAACTTCTTGAATAGTCCATTGATTTCAGTGGTACAACTTGTAGGCCTAAATGTCAGTAAAGATGGCAAATTTTGAATTGCAGTAACTTGAAAAAACTGGGGAAAAAAGGAAGAATTAGAGTACCTCTGGAGAAAACCAAAGTTCAATGTGTTTAGGATTATTCTCCCCTTACTTTTACAGAAACCTTAAATCATATTTACTCTTTGTACCTATGTTTGCTATTGTCTAGCAAGGAAAGAATCTCCATTTATGTAAAGAATGCTTCTCTACCTAGAGGCACACCCCACTCGGTTTACTCAAACAAGCAGTGCCATTGACTTCAGTGATTGAAGCTAGAAGAATTTGGCTTCTAAGCCATTAAAAAAAAGTTTGTACTTTGTGAATTGCTAACAAAGCTTGCTATTCATTACCCTAAGGCATATAATTACACAATTGTTTTTGCATTTTGAGATCAATTTAATCTATGCTTAGTATTTTGTTCCCAGCAAGTATTTAAAAAAACCTCTGTCTATTTTTGCAGAAAATAGATGCTCAAGCTATTGAAGAATTCTATGGTCTGACCTCTGATATATCAAAAAATTCAGAATCTGGTTATATTTTATTCTATCAGTCACGAGAATGACTTGGAGAACTGTGAAAATGCTGCAAGTGGAGAAACTGATCAGCACTGTTAACTGACCACATCTTAATAGACTACATCTTGTATGGTTGAACAATTACCTACCATGTCTCCTACTAAATAGTTGATGTGTTTTTGACTATAACCATTCAATTTGACATGCAGCGCTTTGGGTTTCTTTAGTCTGACTCAAGAGTTAATTGCAGTCAGATCTTAGTAGAATTTATATGGACTAATATTTACAGATAACAGGATTTGAGGTCATCTGTTAAATACAACTGAGCTGGAATCACTTTTTCTATGGATGTGTGCATTATATGTAGGGCAAATTGTTTAAACTTTCTAAATGGCTTTGAAGTGTCAAATTAAAAAGCATTCCTTTGAACACATACTAAAATGTAGTTACCAGTGTTCAGTGTAGTAGGGATTTTGTCACATTACCTTCCACTGCTAGAAAGATATTCTTCCCAAATCCTTTAATCTTGGGTTATTAAAACTTTAAATGGGTAACCTCAAGACTAAAATCCATATAAAGAGATTTAAATCACAGTGGAACAAAATAATACTATGCACCTGGTCTTCTTTTTTTCATGAAATAGTACAGATGAGGTGATTGACAGTTTTTGATTCCAAGGCCTAGAAAGGTGCTGAGTGTTTTGTGGGGAAAAGTGAGAGAGAAGTTCTTCTGTATATGACACAGCTGAGGTACTTGTATAAAGAATGATCTTATCTTTCTGCTAAAAGGAACAATATGATGCTTTGTTTGCATAGCTGAATTTGCAGATCTTCCAATATTGTTTGCACAAAACATGTCTCATAAATCAGGGCTACAATTACACAACCTAGTTAAGTGATGCTGCTGGCATGGTCTATAACATTGATCCCATAGCATGCTGAGTACCAACAGCTTCAATTGGCATCGGTGGGATCTGTAGATGCTTGACACCTGCTAGGATGGGGACCATGCTTTTACAATTTAGAGCACCTTTAAAATAATATAATTAATAATTCATACTTGTAGTGATAGGTTAACTACATGCAGCATCAGGAGTAGGTGGGTGGGTCATGCTTCTCACTGGTGTTCCTGAGAGTGCTGAGGAAACAATGGAGACTTACCCTAAGGGTCAAATTCTGTTCCCAGTGAAGTCAATGATAAAGCTCCCATTATCTTTAGAAGAAGGATTTGGCCCTATAGGAGAGTTCAGTACCCGTGGAAACTGTCATCATTTCACAGTATTTACTTTGACTTATTTTCACTTTGTATGTATGTATGTAAATATGTATGTAGTAGAAATTCTTGTTCCTAGTAGTCTCTTTTGAGATGGCCGACTGCAATTTTATGGCTGAATCTCTTCTTTTTTTTTTTTTTAGATATATTGTTTAAAATACTGTTGAATCTTGAATCTCCATTTCTCTTATGAGAGTGAAAAACCTTCCTGGCATTACACGACTACTGTGAATGTGAAATTATTTTTTATTACTTTATAGTGAACATGCAATATTAGCCTTTGATATAACATGGTTTGAAGCTTATTTGGAACGATCACTGGCCATTTTGTAACATAAGGAAACAGCACTTTACAGTGGAGGGGAAAAAAACAAACGTGGATTTTTCATCTGTAAACGTGTAAACTATTTCTCATGCTGTTAGAGAGAGCAGACCCACAATGCAGCCTTATGGCCTTTATTTATATGGTAATCCCAGTGTTCTAATAGGAGCTCTCATACAAGTAAAGATTGGGAAATTAGGTTAAAAAAGTTATAGACACTTCTTTCTTTTATTCACAAAGGGTGTATCTACATAAGACGTTTATTATGCAGTTGCCTAATTAGCTCCACAGTAAAATGTCAGCAGCTACAAGTGCATTGCTATTAGGGCAGAGTAAACTAGTTAACTCTGCCATAGGATAGTACTGCCTGATACAAGTATTATCCTATAATGGAGTTATTTTCTCCTCTACAATGCATGTATAGACACTGACAGGGCTGGCTGAGACATGAGGGTGCTTCAGCATTGGGCCTGCCTGTCAGTTAGCCCCACAGTGAAGCACCCTTCTACTCCAGCCAGCCCCTCCACAACAGGTTGAGTTGGGCCAGAGCAGCCCCAGGCTGGCAGGCTGACCCCTGGGACCCCCGGCCAGCTGGGGCTCAGCTACTCCAGCACAGCGTAAGCAATATTATAAACAATATATTTAAACACTCCACCTGTGCAAATGGCGCGTCCAGGAGCAATTAATTCTGATGTGAACTGTGCTGGAGTTTATTCAGGCGCACTAATTGCATGTATAGATGTGCCCAGTGAGATACAAATGTCTATCTTTCAACAAAGAAGACAAATACTAGTTTTGGGTTGGCCTAATAAAGGTTGTTAGTTGTCTTTGAAGTCAATGAGATCCTTCTCCATTGATGTCCGTGGAGTTGCATTAGTCGCTGAAGCGAGTAAAACTGTCTTCCGTAATGGAATTTTAATGAACATTCATATCTTCCTGTATAATTAATATATCTACAACTTGCCTGGTGATTGAGACTATACTCTAGTTGTGAATAAATGCACTTTCTAAATCAAAGTTAACTAGTAAGACACATGTCCTGTACTTTGCAATTTTCTCACAAACGCGTTCTAGCAGCTTTGTTAAACTTTAAAATATACCACCACCACCAATGTATAACTTGAATATTTAGGGTTCATGTATGTATGAAAAACAGTTTTGCATTTAGAGATGATTTAAAGTGGAGCTAAATTTTGGGAAATGCTTTAGATATTTGGATTTACTTTACTGAAAAATATTTTTATTTAGTTAAATTCTGAATACTGAAGCAATATTTACGAAATAAAATCTAGGATTCTACATCTACTAATTTTTTAATTTCTCTGGATACAAGACGAGACTAACGGTGGATAATAAATATAGATAGTTACAGTATGCTAGTTGACAGTAACATTATTATGATAGGATTTTTCACATTTTATGAAAAATGAATAAAACAAAGTGTCTATCAACATTTTTGTGATACATTAGTAGAGACCCAAACGATTTTTATGAACATGCTGCAGGGATGTTAAATCAGAAAGTTTATGTTAGCTCAAGAAAAGATTTAAAACTTTGATACAAGTCCAAAAATCAATAGCCTGACATCAGCCTTGTAAAGACTGTAAAGTACAGGATGCTGATACTAATTTTGTTTTAGCACCAGTTAAAACAGGGAATCCTTGCTTTGACTGGTGATTATAAAATCATAACTTCATTTTTTTTTTATTATCCTCGGTTCAAAACTAGTCCTACAAGACGCCAAAACACCTTGATCCTGGCTTGCTTAACCATGCGCTATTTTAGGCAGATGTCAGTGGAAACATTGCTTGGTTTAAGTCAAGCACATTCTTAAGTGTTTTGCTGGATGGAGGCCAAGATACTCAGCTGCTAATAAATGCATAATGCCTTTTCCACATGTTTTTATATACATAATTCCAACCCATCAGGAAAGACTTGAAAAAATCTGGGACAATCAAAGCTTTTCTAGCCAACAACTGAGGGGTGTGGGGATAAAAGAGAAATTGTAGCACAGATGTTCAACAACATTTTGTGCTCCTATGCAGTGTCAGTTCTTAGTGTATTGAGCTTTGCCTAGATTAAGTCAAAAGATAACTGAAGTTCATTATTTGTGTCACATGCCATTGCATGAGATCCATTTTCTGTGTAACACTTTTCTTGTTAGTTGTATATTAATATGTGTTATTGCAATGTTCTTATTTATAGGAAAGAACATTTTTGGTTCTATTCCACTAAGCCTAAGGAAGCTTTTTAGTACACTCTGTAATCAGTTATCATAGAGGGTAAGCTCAAAACTGAACTTTTGTGTGTCATAGAATAAGCTGTCAGTATTTTGGATATTTTTTTATTTCTGGAGAATAGTAGTTGGCAATAGAAGAAGGGCTTAGAGAAGAAGTAGGTTAATGAAAGCAGGATATTTAGCTGAAAATAAAACACCCACAACCATCCCAGCCACCCATGCCATTTCAATGGATTTCAAGTGTATTTCAATAAAATAACATTTTCAAGTCTGATTCCTTTAGCAGCTGCAGCAAGAAAAAGCAACAAGTGTCTCTTATGCACTGAATTCAGTGAAGACAGTAACATGTGTACACAGTGCTGGAGCATGTTTGGGAGCACTGCTCTGAAAATGCCCCACCAACTTGCTCTTGTTCTGTATGTACCACATGTTGAAAAAAATTGCATAGCTGCTACTAGAATAGAGCACGCCTAAAATTCAGAGTGGCTCTAGGTTAACCCTAAGCATGTGTCAGAAAGCAGCTACATGCTAGTTTTTAGCTGTATGTATGCACGGAGTAGAACTGAGTGGGTGGGGCATGTTTTCATGGCAGTATTCCCTAGCATCTTCTTACCTGGTGCAGGCATACCTGAACTAAGACGTAACTGGAATTTCTGTTATATATTATAATAGGTTCTAGCATTTGACTACATGTGGCTTTTGTCCTCAGAGATTGCATTGCATTGCATTGCATTGCATTCTCATTTGTATTCATGTTACAGTATTGTGTGCTTGGGGCCTGATCCTGAGAGCTGCTGAAAACTTGCACCTCCCAATTATTCAGCACTTCTCAGCAACAGGCTCTTAATGCCTGGTGTCTTGTTTGCTGTTTTGTGGCCAAGGAGTTTGGGCACTATCTTTTATAATTTGTGTTTAGAAGTTTTAAGAAATTTTGTCTTTATACCTGCTATATTCTAGTATCTTTTGTCAGTGTTATTTTTTAATTTATTTGCTTTTTTATTTCTCTGTAACCATGCTCTTTACTGTATTTCTATAATAATTTGTGTAGCTAATATTATTTAGCCTTATGTTTTAATTGATATGTACTTTGATTTTTAATGTAATCAACCCAAGCACTTTAAGCAATAATGTCAATCTTGTGAAATTTCAATCAAACACTTTGCCTTTGCCTCTAAAATAAAGTTTGTAAAAAAAATTCTCTATCTAGAGAATTGTCTGTGAAATATAGCACACAGTAACATTTGAGTTGTATGTCTGTGATTCTCCTAGTGAGTCAAAAGATGGTTTCAAGTCTAGAATCAAAATGTGAATAATACACAGTATGAATTTATGTATAAAATAAGTATTGATTATGCTTAATACACACGCATTAGAAGTATTACTCACATTTAGCTTTTAAACTTAAAGTCAGTCTTTAGACTGATCATATGTTCGGTGGTAGAATCAATCAAATTATATTTCCCCCACACATCTGCCAATCCATAAGGGACTGAATATTCCAAACAGCTACAAATAGCCACCATTTAAAAAATCAACTCCACAGAAATGTTTACTTATTTTTCCCATATACATTAATACCTTTCCTCCCAAGTTACACTTGCCACTCTTCTCCCCCTACCTACCTAAAAATTACTTGATCATGTGTATAATGGCTCCGGGTTGCCATTGTATCTGAGCACCCGGCAGTTTTTAATGTTTTAAGCTAAGGAGCTACAGCTGTCATTGTCCCTTGTACTTGGCAGTGGTTCTGTCCTCTGCACATTCCTCCCCAAGCGGTCTGTACACACAGAGACAAGAGATAACTGGGTAAGAGAAGTCTTGTGGTAAAAGATTGTCAAAGACACGAGATTTTTTTTAGGTCAGTGTCCATGCTATCTTTGGATTAGTATAACACGCCCTACATACCATGCCAATAAAGCTCTTTCTTCTTGTCTGAGCATATGTCCATTGTTTATAATATTGCTTAGAACAATCTTAGTACCATTTTGGATAATGTCCTTTGTTTTTGGGCAGTGAAAAGACCATAATGTCTCTCATTTATAACAGCTTCAACTACATACTGGTATTTTTCTTCATGATTTAACATAGCACCTAACTTCTAAATGTTGCTGAAGAAGCTCTGACAGATAGCCTTTTAAATTTTCTTCCAGTTAACACACAGTACTTCAAAGAAATAATTTGAGTTATTTCTGGATACAGGAACCTATTAGATTAACATACCACCTTTGCATACAAGGTCAGGATACTTGTCAGAAGGCATTCACCTTCCTGGTGTGGCCATCTGGGCTAATCCTAAGTGTTTTTTACACATTAATGATTCTTTTCCCCCAGGAGGTTTGCTTACTGGATTTGTCTGAGCAATTAGATCTGAGACCAAACATATTTCCCTTTATTCACAGTCTTAGAGTTACTATCATTCTTTGGGATTTTTGGTTGTAGCTGTGTTGGTCTAAGGACATAGGCTGACAAGGTTCTTTGGGTAAATGTGATATCTTTTATTAGACCAACTAAATAGTTGGAAAAATTGTTCTTTGCAAGTTTTCGGGCACAAGCACCCTTCTTCAGGCACAGGGTGAGTCTGTTGGTGTCTGTGCGCTCTCCTGAGTAGAACAGAAACCAAATTGCAATATGCAGGTCTGTGAAAATGCAATTACGTGGCAGTGATGATCTGAGGGTTCCACTATAACCAGCCTGCCATCCGATAATCCCAAGTAACCTGTCTGCATTTTACTAGCTATATTCTGTCACCAGTTCTACAGTCCTCCTTCCCTCCCCCGCAACCTGTCTCACACCTATTGTCTCCCAATCCCTCAGATCCTCACTGTCACACATTTGCATGTTCACAGACCTGCATTTTGCAATTTGGCTTCTATTTTACCTTGCGGCAAAACTCACCAACCGGGAAGCAGCCGCACTGCTCCCAGAAGCGGCCACAGTGCTTCTGGAAGTGGCCGCAGCGCTACATCCAGCGCTCCCACTCACTGGCCAATGCTCTCAGGGTGGGCACTGGCGCTCCTGCCTGCCCCCCCTGCCCATCACCTAAGTGGGGAGTGCGGCTGGTCAGGGGGTGTGCCAGCTCTGTCAGGGAGTGCACGTGCACCCCTGTGCACCCCCTACACATGGCCACTGCCCCCTGGGCTATAGAGCTATGTAAAATCAGGGTCTGCAGCCACAGCTTGAGCCAACCAGCTGGTGAGCTCAGAGCTCAAGGACCTGCCCCTGTGGATATCTGGATATAAAGCAGCTTTATGAGCACTCGTGGTGCTCTGGAGAGGTGCCGGAGGACTGGAAGAGGGCCAACGTGGTTCCCATCTTCAAAAAGGGGAGGAAGGAGGACCCGGGAAACTATAGGCCAGTCAGTCTTACCTCGATCCTGGGAAAGCTGTTCGAGAAAATTATTCTGGCACACATCCAGGAGGGGCCAGCAGGGAAATGCATGCTCAGGGGCAACCAGCACGGGTTCATCAGCGGCAGGTCATGTCAGACCAACCTGGTGGCCTTCTACGATCAGGTCACTAAATCATTGGATGCAGGGGTAGCAGTGGATATAGTCTACCTGGACTTCCGGAAGGCTTTCGACACTGTCTCTCACCCCGTTCTCATTAGGAAACTGGGGGACTGTGGCGTAGACACCCACAAAGTCCAATGGGTCGCCAACTGGCTAGAGAGCAGCACCCAGAGGGTGGTAGTGGATGGGTCTTCTCGGCCTGGAAGGACGTGGGCAGTGGGGTCCCGCAGGGCTCGGTCCTCGGGCCCGCCCTGTTCAACATCTTCATCAGTGATTTGGATGAGGGGGTGCAAAGCACCCTGTTCAAATTTGCTGATGACACCAAGATGTGGGGGGATGTAGGCACAATAGAAGGGAGCAACAGGCTACAGTCGGACCTTGACAGGTTACAAGGATAGGCGGAGGAGAACAGGATGGGGTTCAACACAGACAAGTGCAAGGTGATGCACCTGGGGAGGAACAACCAGCACCATACCTACAGGCTGGGGAACTCCCCTCTAGTCAGCACGGAGGTGGAAAAGGATCTTGGAGTCATTATTGACTCCAAGATGAACATGGCTCGGCAGTGTGGGAAGGCGGCTAGGAAGGCCAACTGTACCTTGTCGTGCATCCACAGATGCATTTCAAGCAGGACCAAGGAGGTGATCCCCCCCCTCTATGCGGCACTGGTCAGGCCGCAGCTGGAGTACTGCATCCAGTTCTGGGAGCCGCACTTTAAGAGGGATGTGGACAGCATCGAGAGGGTCCAGAGGAGGGCCACTCGCATGATCAAGGGACAGCAGGGCAGGTCCTATGAGGAAAGGTTATGGGACCTGAACCTGTTCAGCCTCCAGAAGAGAAGGCTGAGGGGGGATCTTGTGGCCTGCTATAAACTAGTCAGGGGGGATCAACAGGCACTGGGGGAGTCCCTGTTCCCCCGAGCGCCGCCAGGAGTGACCAGGAATAACGGTCACAAGCTGGCGGAGGGAAGGTTCAAGTTGGACATCAGGAGGCGCTACTTCATGGTCAGGGCGGCTAGGGTCTGGAACCAGGTTCCAAGTGAGGTGGTGCAGGCTCCCACCCTGGGGGTTTTTAAGAGGAGGTTAGATGACCATCTTGCCGGGGTCGTTTGACCCCAGTACTCTTTCCTGCCATGGCAGGGGGTCGGACTAGATGATCTGCCCAGCTCCCTTCCGACCCTAGAAACTATGAAACTATAAAGCTCGTTTTCCTCCACAACACCATTCAGATTGTGGGGGGAGGCAACTTCAGTCTGATTTTGAAGTAGTGAATGTAAGAATTATTTATTGTAGCACTATGAGTGCAATAAATAAAAAAAATTTTTTAAAAAGGGAAACTTGCCAAGCTGCTGCTGAAAATTGAGGTAATATTTGGGACATCTGCATGAGGGGACACATTTAGGTATTCTGTCTCATGATTCATTATAAAATTCAGCAGCTCAAACTCAAAGAAAACCATTTTTCAGCATTAAACATTTCTAGAGTGTAAGAAGTCCTTTTTTTTATAACCAGGAGGGGTCTTTACAGGATATGTTTAATAATGGCCATTTTTTCCTTTATCTGTTTCACCCATATAAATTTTTTATGCTGATTCAAGACTGATCATGCTTTCTTTTGTTATGCTTTGTGATTGCCTTCATGTCATTAATTCCAGTATTAGAAGTATTAGTTGTGGAATGGTCAGTTTGACCGAAGACAAGAAAACAGGAGGTTTTAACTGTGTTCCTTGTTTCTGGTTCTTTTCTTTCCTAAGGGATGCAGTCATAATAAGCTATTTCAATAATTTCCATGCACAATATCCACTTTGGTATCTAAGTTATGAATGGAGCAAGAAATGTTAACATTATTAACATTGATTTATGATCCAGCTTTAAAATACTGAGCAAGGTGAAATATTACATATGTGTATGTTATCTACTGAGCATACAGTATACAAAAATACAGTTATGATCTGTATTTATATGTAACAGTCATGTTTTGTAGTTGTTTTTACATGTATTTAAAACCTACAACATCCACAGAACTGTAATGCATATCTATGTTTGATATCAAAGGAGTAACCAAGAAAACAATCTTTTTTCCTGTGTTAACATGTTTACATTGTAAATAAAATGAATTCCCTCAACCAATTCTTTTGGGTTGTTTTGCAGAGGCTTTTGTATGTATATTTAAATTAAAAAAATCTGATCCTATTTCTCTCTAATGAGGCTTGAGAGCTTGCTCTCAATTCAATATGAGCACATTGGTTATGTAAATAGACTTAATTAGTATATGACATGTTTCTGAATGCAGAATTATGAAAGCATCTGACATGTGGGGCTTTTCCTCTTCGGTAGAACTGTTTGTTACCTTTTACATGATGCGCTTGAGAGAGAATATTTCATAATTTGAGTTTGCTGCGTTTGAAATGTTTTAGGAAATGATCTTTGTATGCAGCACTTCAGTCTTTTTGATGAAATATGCATATCGTTCCATAACCTAACTGTACCTATTCAAATCACACAGTTGACCTTCCCAAAGTTAATGAGAAGAGCTAAAACTGAACAGAAGGAAAAGCAGTAAGAATTGTCTTCACATTTGATCAGCAGAACAACTAGAATCCAATCTTAGGTATGGGATTTATATGGGACTGGTAGTGCAGGGAAATGTTTGCGCATGGAGTCTGAAACCATGTCAAAGTGGAAGATCCCCTCAGCCTTCTCTCTTTCTCAAAATTATACATTAGGAAACACTTTACTTTCTATGCTGTCAGGCAAAGCCAAATCTGGAGTTTCTAGCCTTGTCTAAATGAATTCTTGTTCTGTCAGGATTCCAAAGAGAAGCAAAATCAAAATAGGTGTCAGACTATATGTTAAAAAATTTATAGCTAACATGCTACCAGATTAATGGCACAACAAAACATCAAAGAATTGCACATCTAAGACATGTAATGCTTTTGAAGACAAAAATCTTGAATTACAATCCTTTTTTTTCTTAGAAAGCAAGCTTTTAAATGTATAAGCATATTTAGATATTTAAATATGGAAGATGAGTAAAATCAAATTCCTTTTAGTTATTTTTAACATGTAAAATTTGTAGAATGTAATGCAGAAGAACCAAGTGATCTACACAGGATAATCTGTGGACAAGATCACTTCTGCTTTTTGTGGACACATCTCTGTTGAGGTTGGATATTACCTTTGGATAAATTAATTTCTCTTGTGAGGACAATTCTACCAATGTGACATTCAGCCAAAATGGTCTTCTTATCTTTGGATATAATATGATATATTAGGGTGGTTGTTTCCCGTGCACTTGGGAAACAATAATCTGCTGGAAATATCTAATTTTGATAAAAATAAAAGGGTGTTAAGAAAAATATTAGTATCATCAGCTAAATGTCTCACTCTGACTTAACACATCATACATTAGACATAAAAAGACACACAGAACTTTGAGGAACATGTTTGCTAAGAGCCTTGTGGTCACATCTAATTTCTTTGCAAAACTGGATGGTATTGAAAATATAATATATCATAATAAATACTGTCAGGCAATAGGACCATGAGGACACTTACAAAATGCAAGTTACAGTACACACCCTTAGCAACTAAAACTATTAACTAAACACCATCCAGTCAAACTGTAGCTGGGGATATGTGAAGGAACTACCATTATTTTAAGCAGCTTCCCTAGTTTTCTTTAGCGTCCTCAACCCTGGAACATAAACATAAGGTAAAATGTCGAAATCATTGTGCTGTTTGCACAGACGGCAATGCCACTTTGTACTGTTGTTGCATTTTCACATTTTTTCTTTCAGTGTGGGGAGTGGTTTTATCATTCAAGTGATCTTTTTGGACGTGGTCATGTAAAATAGTTGTTTGAGAAAAACATAATTGTCAGAGGTTGATCTAAATAGAAGAAATCTCTGTGAGCTATTTTTACTGCCTTTATATTTTCAGCTGAAGGTATATTTTTGTGGAAATACTGTAACATGTCTAACTGTTAAAGAATATCTAGTCAACCTAATAGAGCTAGTCAGAAATTTTCTGATGGAACATTTTTTTTGTTTGGAAAATGCTTATTCATCCAAAGCAAAACATTTGGCAGAAAATATTGGTTTTGGCTAAATTTTGTGTAGTGAAAATGGAATAAATATTCTACTAATTTTTTATTCTGGCCTTCTTGGAACAGAGCATTTCAACAGTCTGTTACAACATGAATTTCTGTTGTTGTAAATGGTATATTTCATAACATAGTCTTGTCTCACAGCCCTGGTAGAGCTCACTCCCCCCTCTGCGCGCTCCTTTTCTTGGGCTGCTGTATTTGAGTCCAGGCAGCTTAAACTTCTCTTGGACTGTGTAGGTGGCAACTGAATCGCTTCCCTTAGCCTCTCTGGCGCACTACTTTGGTTAGACTATAAGGTGCAAATCTACCCCACAATTCCAGGACAGAAATCAAACCGCTTAGCCCAGGGGTGGCCAACCCACAATACGGGTGCCACAAGTGGCACAGGCTGCTGCTGTGCGAGTAGTCCTGGGTGCTCAGTCCAGGGTGGTGTTGCACAGAGGCAGGGAGTGGACGGCTCTGTGGAGCTAAGCAGGGGCAGGGCACTGCTGGAGAGGTGTCAAGTGTCAACACCAAGAGCCAGGTTCTTCCTGGCTCTGCTAATTCAGGGTTTTGAATCCTTGCTTGCCATAACACTGTGGCAGTTGTGGGGCCAGGGATGGGTTAACCTGGCAGTTGGCAGTGACACCTCCTTTTGCAGCAGCACCAGTCCATGTGATCATAGCTAAAGGCCCCCTGCCTCCATGCCAGTGCCCTGGGGTGCAAAGTCTATCAGGGATCAGAGCAGCACTGGGGGAGGGACAAGGGCTTAACTTGTGGCACAGCTGCCAGAAGGGTTGGCCAGTGGCCACCACTATTTAAAGCCAGCTGCCTTAGCTCCCCTGACCATTGTTGATCCCCAGATTCCCCAGTGACACCTTTCCCCCAAATGCCACCTTTTGGGTACTGGGGGTTCATGGTTCATTTCTTCAGGGGCACACTACAGAAAACCAACATACAGGATTTCTGATGGTTTCAAAACCTCAGCATTTTACTTTAGTTAGCATAAGTAGTGTGCAGATCTGGACAAAACAAAGAACACCTGCATGCATTTCTGTCTCACTTTCCCAGCCTCTTTAGAGCCCTTTAAAGTCATCTGAGGAATCCCGAATCCCCTCTCCTGTGCTTGGCTTCTCCTCTGAATCCTGGTAACTCTCTTTTTCTCCTTCCACCCCTCACTCCCCATTCCCCAAACTTTTCCCTTCTTTCTCTCAAAGGGTCAGCAAAATATTCTCTCTCTCATTCTCTCTGGGTTTTTTTAACATCCAGTCCCCTTTGGCAGGTGACTCTCAGATCAGCCTTGTCAGGTGATAAAAATGTCCCAGCTGGTGATTTGTTGCTTAGCTACCACCACCAGGGTTTGGACTTGAAAAACTGGTTTGCCCTCAATAGCAGTCATTTCTGTCCTAGGTGCTCAATTTAAATGGAAAATTATTCTAGCTAAACAAGGCTACTTTGTTAACCTTGTGCCACATACAGAAGTTTTGCCTGTGTACCTCATGTGGTTTAATATGGAGATAAAGGGCAGCAATCAAGCCTCCCATTTGAATCTGAATTTACAATCTGACCCAGATATAAAAAATTGGTAAGCCATACCATAGAGTGGAGTACCCAAATCACCATCAATTTCAAACAAAGAGGTTAAAATTGGAGTGGAACATTTCAAGTTTAGAAAAATGAAAAGCTTTGCTCAACCCAACAATTTTGTTCAGAATTTTGTTTGGCAGAAATTTCAAATGTTTCTTTTTTTTGTTTCTTCTCAGAATAGCAGAGCCTGAGATGGCAGCTTCCTTCAAAACAGAAAATCCAGTTCCCACTCTGCTCTAGACTACAGATATTAAACCAGCACGCAATGTATTTGATAAAGACTAAACTCAGTTACATCTATGTAAATCTGGAGTTTCTATGTATATACTTACAGCTTCAGATGAGGATAAATGAGAATAGAAAGCTGGCACAATATTGCTTACAAGGACAATACAAGGTTTTAAGTATAGGGAATTGTAGGTCTTATGTGTTTGCATATTATGCTATTATGTGCAACACTAAGCATTGAAATAGATTTCAAATTGTAATTAGATGAAAATGAAATGAAAGTTAGCCCTGCTGCTTGAAAATGCCACTCAAGAGCTTATATGTAATCTTACTTTTAATCACTAGTTAATTTAATGATCACATGTGGCATTTTTCATCTTCAAAGTTGAAGATGAAATTAATTTTAATTTTTTTCCCACACTTTAAGCGGATCAAAATCATAGAAACCTAATCAGCTGTATAAATAGCAATCTAAGCCTTAATATATCTCATGGCTTGCATAGAATGTGGTTGGCTTTTAGTTAAGTAGGGTTAGCCAGGAGGAACATGTTTCACCAGTTTCTCATCAGCTGCATTGATGACCTTATTCCCTTCTGGATGCCATTCAAGGTGTTGATTTTGTGCAATATAACCCTATATAACTTGATCCCTGGCTGTCTAAGAAACAGCTTCTCTCTCCCAGGATCAGCCAAGGCAGTGAGTTTGCACTAAGATGACTTTTACTTTCCAAGATTTGAGTATGGGAGTCTGTCTATTCTTTGAAATAGCTGATGACCTTACAGGCATCCTAAAGGAAATTCTAGGTGGAACTCATGTGGTTAATCCCAGTTCTGGGTGTTTCTATTTATATTTTGAAACCAGCAAAAGTATTCTGTGATCCAGTAAAGTTATCATAATATTGACTCTTAATTCCTGCTCGGGAATGAATGGCTTGGGTAGAGGGTTAGACCAACAACTACAAAACCATGCTGGGTTTTGAGCTGCCTCTAAATTGGCTTTGCTGGCAAATCAAACCCTAAAGGTAAGCAGGACTCTCATTACTGTCGTTTACATCAATAGTTTATGTACTCGAGCACTGATTCCATTGTTAACATAAGGGAGGATAAAAGAAATGAAGAAATGTGTACACTATAGCAGTTAGTACAGAACTTCAGTCAGCATATCACTTCAGCATATGCACTCTTCTTCAACACTTAACTTCAGCATAACCTGAAAGTTTACTTATCCACAGTACATTGCACATCACTTCTTTAGTCTGTTATCATTCGAAGACATAGCTAGGTCCAATTAATCCTTGTGGCATACAGTCCTTGAATCCTCCATGAACTACCTCCAAAGGGGGTCAAAATTTGTTGTTCCTTCTCAGTTCTGAAGGAAAAAGATTTGTTCTTTTAGACAGCTGGAAGGGGAGACCTTATCCCCCATCATTTCTAACCCTCCCTCCTTAGCCTCTCTCTCTTAAATTATTGTATCACCCTTTTCTCCACCAACAAAATCTTAACATTGCATCACAAGAATAGGCAGTATTCCATAATTCCTTATTTCAGCAGAAGTATAAGTAAGTATGTATGTAGTAACAGAATAATCAAGCTTGGTTTACTGTATTAATCCTGTTATGGCAATATACTGAGAGGAGAGGCCCATTCAGGGATTATATTCCCCTATTATATTTAATCAGTTGTTCTGGCTTTCATGAGTTAGCAGCCATCCCCCACCCCACAGAGACGGGGAATTCTGTTTATCCAAAGCAAATATTATCCAAAAACACCACCTGAAAGTGAACTATATTTGCAGACATGCATTCAGATGTTGCTTATTTAACTTGAAATTCCATCTACATGATTTACCTGGATGAATGAGTTCTAGTTGTATATAGTAGCTTAAAAATGATTTTGGGATTCTTCAGTTTTGACAACTCTTACACACACATGAGAGTTCCATTCATACATAATGTGATTTAAGCTGTTAGCTTTGGTGTTGAGGGTTGTTTCCTCTAGGTGGATATCCTGAAGATGGAGTCAGGTATTTCCTTAAAATCACAATTGCTTGAAAAGAATGACACAATGTACTGTTTTCCTGAGCACAATAGGAAGCAAATTGTTTTCGTTTTCACAATCCCAGCACATTGCCCATAAAAGCTATATTTTAGCTTTTTTTTTTTTCTTTCAAATGCCATGTTACAACATAGCTGTTGCCTTGACTTTCTCTAGCCTCCTCATCCTTCTTTGTGCTGTGTCTGAGTGTTTTGTGATTCTTACACAAACACAGCTCTTCCAACACCAACCAGCCCTCTGAGTTTACATTCAGATGCCAAAAGGAACCCTCTCAGACCATCTGGCTCAGCACCTACTTCCAGGTTTGCCATATAGGTTTGTGATTTGGATAATGGCTTCTGCCATTTCAGCCCTCAATCAACAAAGCAGTATTGAATTGATTCTGGTATTTAGGGGCAACTTCAATAAGTTTTCTAAGTGCTCAGAGATCATAGGCACACTCCCTGGAAGCCACTCAAATTCTAATATAACAACCGCATGGATTCACAGGGCCTTAACCTAAGTGTCAGGCTCAGAATTGAGAATCTGTCATCTCTAATTTCAGTTCTGCCTATGTGTCATTTCTTTGCCACATTGGGCTAATAATGCAATCTCTCCTTGTCTTGATTGTTTTCATCTATGAAATAAAAATAATTATTTTCCTCAGGGAACTATTCTGTGGTTAAGCTACAGTAGAATGTAGAGCTGTGCTGAGATCTCCGGTTGTGTGCCCATGTAAAGCTTGCTACATTGCCAGGGATGGGTGTTGTTGTTATATTATCATACTTTCCTTTATTTATACAAGAAACCCTGACATCATTACATAAAGCAGTTGTTGCTAGCTGAATGTATTTTGTTAAGCAATGAGCTCAGTGCTGTTACAAAACACACAAAGACCATTCCTTGTCCTAAGAAACAGATGCAAACTAGAAATCTGACAAATTGGTAACACAAGGGGAAGAAAACAGGGATTTTATGTTTTTTTTTTTTTTTTTTTTTTTTTTTTTAAGGTGCCTTACTTTCATAAATGCAGCACATCTTCCATCAGTGAAGATTCACAGACTGAAAAGATAGTTGACAAGCACTTGAGGGGAACAGAACTTTACAAAGAGATGAGAAAGCTCTATGGACCTGCAGGAATACAGTCTATGAGGCAAATGTACTCTGAGCAGTTACTGAAGGGTGAGTGGTAGGAGATTTCCTTCCAAGCAATATGGCCGAATCCTGACCCCACTCAGAGTCATGGGAAAGAGCGAAGAATAACAGGAAACCCAACATAGAAGCTGTCATATCAGATCAGCCAATCATCTCTTCCTTCCAGCGTGTGGTTTCCTACACTGGCCAGCCCTAGAAGTGTCAGGAGAAGAAAGAAACAAACCCCAGAATAACTGGCTTATGGGGGGAAGTTCCTTCTTGAACTCAAGCAGCTAATTATTGCTTTTTATAAAGGTACCAGTTCAGATTCGATGGTTATTTTCACAGAAATATCCAGTCTATTATATTCTCTGCTTAGATTTTTTTTCATAATTTGTCTATGGAATTTCATTTAAATAATACTCATTAGGAGGTCACCCTTGAAAATGTTCCAGTTTTTCCTGAAATGATGAGCTGTTACCTCATTATCTACTCTATTGCCTACAGTATAGTTTCATAGTAACTGGGGTCAGGAGGGACCTGATCAGATCATCTAGCCTGACCCCCAAATATGATCTTTGACAACTGGAAAGATTTTAAGAATAACCTTTTAGCAACAACAAAAGCAACCCAATAAGAACAGGATAATGCAATAGAAAATTTGGGACAAGGCCTTTTGGAACAGTTTAGAGAGGGGTACAAGAATGGAGCTATCACTAGTGCCTATGCTGCCACTACTATATAGGGTGGATAACCCTCTTGTTACACTTCTGGAATAAACGGTTAATTTTAATATAAGTTTCTGAGCATGAGGAATGCTACGTTCTTTTGTTCTGTGTTTATTCAGCATAGCAGTATAGGACTTGAAAGCAATCCATTTGTGCTGATCCACTGACTTTCCACAGAGTTATTCCTGATTTACATGTGTGAAAGTGAGATTAAAATTGGGGTTGGATTATATTTTCATATAGGCTTGTAAACAGATTATATTAAGAGTCAAATCCTGCATTCTCTGTGCGCTCAACATTCTCAGTAAAGTCAACAGGAGTTTTCAGGTGCATAAGGAATATATGATCAGGCCTACACTATTAAAAAGGGTACTACCTGTAAAATTACTCACGCTTTTCTCACCCTTTTAGGAAGCCAGTTAAATGCTGTACTGTCATACCCAAGACAAAGAATGATTGACAACATCTTGGCCAGGAGAAGTGTACAACAACACAAGATGAAAAAACAAAGGGATGAAATGAAAAAGTAATAACACCAATCATTTATTCAAACTTTCTGTAAGGTTACCTCTGAAAGTATTTACTAATATATATTGAAATCCCCAGAAGTTTATTCTTTACCATCTCTACCTACATATTATGTGACTTCTATATAGAAAATTGTATCAGCTTAATTTTTTTTCAAGAAAAGACTAAGTTCTTTTTGTAAGAAAGCATATTTGCCCAGGCCAGCAGAGAAAGTTTAAGCTTTCTTCCCACAGTTAGTAAGTGCAGAAATGGGTCACACACTAATCCAGGAAAATAGTTTGATCCTTTAAGAAGTCTGAGTAGTCTGTTACTGGCATCCTGATAGAAGAAATCATTTGAGCCAAAGATCTGGTGCTCTTAATCTTGCTTTTACCCTTCGAAACAGACTCTAAAGGGATTAGAAGTCTGACAGTAGCAGACACCTACACAGTAAAAACCTATAAAAAATGAAAAAAAAAATGTTACTCTCTTCACCCAGAAGTAGTAGGTGATTGGTTATGGTAAATACCCCTTAAGTCAATCTGTGTCAATCTAGAAATGGTAACGGAAAAGTACCATTATTGTATCCACACAACATAATGAAAGTGTTCAATAAAATGCAACTTCTTAAGAATGGTAGAAATTGTAATTTGCCTTGGCTTTTCAGAAAGCTGAATGAAGAAAAAGTTCAGCTGGAGAAAGTGCTTAAGAAATTACAGTTAGAAAAGAAAATGTTTGGCAAAGGTATGGTATCACTCACACTGCATTGCATTATATCTTCCTATGTACAGCCTGTAACACCAAATATGTTGAGTCTGACTGAGATTTCTGGATTAATAGTTTTCTTCTGCTGTTTATTCTGCATATGAATGTTGTAAATAATACCTGTTTAAGTCCACATCCTGCAAACAAATGTGCATGTGCTTCAAACATGTGAAGTATCTTGCTCATGTGCAGTGCCCTGCTGAAGCTACCATATGTCTACTTACCTGCAGGACCAGAGCCTTAGTTGCTCTCAGCTATCCTAAATCCCATTGCCATGAGGTTGCAAATAAGGGCAGAATCTGGCTCAGTATTATTCAGTTGAGACAAGTGAATGATAAAAGGAAAGGTAGAGACTCAGATTGCACACCTGCACAAGGGACTAAGGATATTGCATCTCCCCTCCTCTTTAACCCATTGTAGCACTACATGCCTCAAAGGCTACAGCCCAGCTATAGGCAGTAAGAAAATAATTGCAGGCCTGCTTAGAAAGACTGGGCCAGCTGATGAGGATAATTGGCTGGCCCAGGGAAAGTTAAAAGCTCCCAGGGAGCTGCTAGGGAAATGCAGTTTAATGCTTTGTGGAACTGATTTGGAAAAAAAATGTTGTAGGTCAGTTACAAAACAAAAGGAAATATTCCAATTTAGGTCAAACCAACCTCAAACACAATAATTCATTCTGTTTTATCAAAGGAAAAAATACATTTTTAAAAAACAATATTACATTTCCCAGCAGAAAATTTCTAAAAAACTAAAACTGCATTTTTCAACAGAAACGCATTTTAACAAAAGACTCCTGATCAGCTGTTTCTAGCCTTTGACTTACATAGTTGCTTCCCTTTTTGTAATGCTTTTAGTGAATAAAACCAGCACGCTGGAGTCAGTCACTCCAGAGACTGCCCCAGGAGCAGAAGTAGGAAACTGGGTGAGAGGAGCAGCCCAATAGCCCCTGCTGTCTCCCACACAGGCTCCAGGAATGCAAGGAGAGTGGTATGCTTCATACTCCCTTGCATGGTAGAATAGGGCTCAGACTGAACAACTTTGTAATCACCTTTTGAATATATGCATAAGTCACTATCAAGTTGTTAGGTTATAGGGTCTGGATGACTCCAGGGATTTGTAATGGATTAAAGAATCTTCACCTCTACTCTGCCAGGTAAAATGCAGCACAGGCCACAGGTTTCTACAAGCTACTATTATCCCTGGTTATATTTTTACCTTAGATGAAATAATGTATCAGTCAGTCTAGTTTCCCAACAGATGAGATTAAAACTTTCAAAAATCCTGCCACAATGGGTCCTGATTGGCATGTTTATTTACAGCCTCAGCAGAAGCACCAATCTTAGTTTAGAGAGTCTCTTCCCCTCCAGAAATGGTCCCTCTATGTCACAGCTGCTATACCTTTATAATATGATGAAACTTCAGTAGATTAATGTCTATGAGTAAAGGCTGTAAGTCTTAAGGGCTACTAAACTGGTATGTTTAACAAACAGTGAATTCAGATAATTTTTTTAAAGAATCTCATGGCTGAACTTCTGAGAAACCTCTGTGTGCACATTTTTATGACAGTGCAGAAGGTTAAAGTCCCTCTAATAGTTTATTTTGTGCTTTTGATGTTTAAAGTGTCTTATCAAGACAGGGAAAATAAAGGTACTCTCCAGAGTCGAATTCACTCCACAGTGGAAAATCTGCCTGAACTAGAGGCCAGAGGCCAGAACCTCAGGTAGATAGACACTTGATTTTTCTTTTTTGAAATAAAAATTGTGGTGTTACATTTATTGAAGGCTTTCCTAAAACCTTATGGTTTTTTGATACATCTTGACTGAATAACAATGGCACAATCCCACAGCCACACCCTGTGCATAGATTTTTAAAAATTATCCTGGTAACAAGATGATTTTGGCCTCAGTGGGCATGTCTACATGTGCAATTAATGCACCTGAATTTTCTGCACAGAAAATTCAGATGCATTAAATGGTGCCTCTACATGCACCTGAATGTGAACCTGTCGGGAACAAATTTGATCCCAACAGGAGCAATTCAGTCTAGGGTTGCTTCTGCTTTGCTCTGCCCTGACTGCAGCAGCCAGGGGGAGCTCTGGGCTAGCAGGAGGCATGGGGGGCTGGTCCTGACCTCTGCAGGGTTGGGGAAAGCTGTCCCAGCTGCTGCTGGGTTCTGATCTCTACATGGCTGGGAGGCAGCTGCCTGACAGCCAGGACAGCTCTCCCTGACCCATGGAGATCAGAACAGGTCCTGATCTCCATGTGGCTGGCAGCCAGCATCCCACTGAACCGAGATAGCTCTCCTTGCTCCCTGTGGCCCCCCACTGCCTAAGATGACTAAGAGCAATCCAGTCCATGTCTACACTTGAACTTTGGTGCATTAGTTTAATGTAGCAATTTCCAGTACCTGTATCTACAGGTACTATAAAATGGCACATCAGCTAATCTGTGCAGTAATTGCTGTACACATGGTAATCATGGTGCTGAGTACATGGGAGGCCTGAGGACCCTGGCCCCCCTCAAGAGAGGGCTGTCACTTGAAATGCGTAAAACTTGCTATATGCCAATCATTTTAGGCCCCGCTCCAGCAAACATAAAAGTTGGTGCCTGTGATGGTAATTCTTTACTGCACATTAGATTAGTCTAGTGTGCAGTAAAGTATCTTGTGTAGATGTGCCCAGTGTGACAGTACAATGAAATATGTCAGCTAATTATACAATAATTTCACAAAAAACCCACTGCTTGGTACTGAACAAAATGCTAGAAGGCGTATTAAAGTGAGATGTCCTAGACTGGCAGGAGAACGGATTGAATGATCTAATAACTAGTTTTCCTTCTCTGACTTTCATGATTATATGATCTATTTCCATTTGGCACTGGCAATGTTTTCTATTCTTTTCCAAAAATATTGAACAACTTTTGGAAAAGAACAACTATTCTTTTCCAAAAGCTGGTAATAGATATTTTAGCAGGAACAAGTGTTTGGATTTAGATTAATTTATTTTGTTTACTCTATAAATACAATGATACCTAGGGTAATTCAGTACAGCACAATTCAGTGCCTTGTAGAGCTAGACAAGTTAGCTCTGAATGAGGTAACTCGTTCTGGAAACAGTCTAGCTGCATTAGTAAAGTGCTCTGCCCAGACTAATTATGCCTGCTGAGAAGGGTAAATATACTCTGAGAAGCAGGGTATATTAGCCTCATTGGAGTGCTATGCTAATGCAGCTAGACCACTTCTAGTACCAGAGCTAGCTATAGACAGACTATTGGTTCTTTATTAAAATGGAAAGAAAAGAACCATTTAAGATAAACAACAGGAAGACCCATTTTGATACTTTTGATAAAGTGAAGCAAACCTATATAATTAATTTTATATTGTTGTACAGGGGGGAGCTTTATATGGAAAGGGAGAAGAAGCTAAGGCCTTATATCGGAGAGTCCTTGACAGTTGGTGCTGAGCCCTATCAACTACGAGACATGAAAATGGTATGTGCTTTGAATTTCTAGTGCCATTTTTATTTTGTGCAATATGAGCAACCCCTGCCTTTGATTCTATTTGAGAGGCTTCAGATTAGAGATGGCTTTGAATCAAAACAGTTATCTGAATACTTTCAGAGAGCTCAGATTCAGATCTGCATCCATTGATAAATGTTGGAGTTTGGGTTCATCATTAGTAAGGTGCATTGTTTCAGGAGAAATGATAGATGGAAGCTAAGGCAAGGTACAGAGTTTCGAAAAGCCCAAGGCAGACTTGCACTAACTTTTGCAGCTTTTTCTAAGCACCCTAGATTAGTTCAGGAGTGAAGAGAACTCATGTTCATCACTAGGGCACAGCAGCAGCTTGCACTGGAGGAGGCCAGCAGGCTTGGGTCGCTCTCACCTGTTTCCCAGCAGCCTGCTGGCTGAGAAGCCAGTCACCACTGATTGGGCAGCGCAGCCCCACCCCCAACCAACTGTTGGCTTCCAGAAGCAGGCTGAGGGGAGGAACAGGGGCCCCCACTGTGCAGCGTCACCCCAGCTATGCTGACTTGGGTCTGGGATGCCAGCGCTGGAGCCGTACAGCTGTCCCTCCCCCATGCTGGGAACCAGGGGGGTGGTGCTAGCTCAGGGCTGGGCCTGTATGGTGGGGGGCTCCATTCTTTTCCCTTGCCCCCCACCCTATCCTCCTGACAGCTGCAGCCAGGAGCCATGGCTTGGAGCTGTGTGCTGGGAACCAGGGATGGGGGGAGCAGAGCCCCCCGCATTGCACAGACCGGGACCAACACCTGCCAGCCCTGACACCGCAAGCTGGGGGGGGGACATGGCAGGGTCTCTGATCCCCACCTGCCCACCCCCAATTCCTAGTGCTGCAGACAGTGTATGGCTTTAAGCCATGGCTCCTGCCCGCAGCTGTCAAGAAGGTTGGGGAGGGGTGGGGGAATGGAGACCTCCACTGCACTATGTGGGCCCCCGCTCTGCTGTGCTGGTGTGTGGCCAGGTCCATGTGGCAGGGGGGGGCTCTGTTCCTCCCATCCCCACACCTTGCCATGCAGGCAGGAGACAGACTTTTCTGGCTCTTGTCTGTGACAACCTGGGGGTGGGGCTGGCCCAGTGCTCACCGAGCAGATGAGCACCAGCTGAGGCTAGCATGCGACCGTGAGAGGGGTGCCTAGGATGCTGGAGGACAGCAAATTGAGATTTGCTATGGGATCTGGGACAGAAATTCAATATACCTCTCTAATCTAAAATAATTAAGTCTAATACGACATCCATCCAGGTCTTTCTTAAACCAGGTTCTGCCAGTTTCAAGCCAGTCTATGTGTGCTGAATTTCTTTTCTGTTACAGATGTAGACAGGTTTCCAATCATTTATACTAGCTTATGTGCACTGTCTGTACCTAGTCTAAATGAATAAAGTTAGGATAAATATGATATTTGTTCATTTTTGAGGTCAACTTGTCTAAAACTGAAGAAAAAATGGCAGACAAATATAAGATGAAGGATGATATACTCACAAGAGTCTCTGAACATAAAAGATTTCTTCTTTATCACTGCAAAATAATCATCTGCTTCAATTTGTTAGTCAGACTTTCACAACTAAATATTCTGTCTTTAAGGTTCAAGACATACTTGATGAAGTAGTGGAAGAACTGATGGATGACTACTTAAGGCACGTGCCTCTTGGCATGTATCCTTGCACTTCAGAATATTCTTCAGGGCTAATTAGAATTCTACTCGATGCTCTGTTGTCAGTTCATGATTTCTACAGGTTGTTCTTGAAACCTTTGCACATCCAATTGCATTATAACAATAGCGTCTTTCAATCTGCATTGTGCAAATGAGTAATCATCAAAACAGAACCACTATAGTTACAGGGAAACCCAATGTCTTATACATCCAGTACAGTACATTTTATCGCTGGCAAATAGATTTTGATATCAGGCTAGTTCATGTTGAAAATACCTTTTTCATCCTCTTTCAAGGTGTTCTCAGTGCATCTTTCCCACCTCTCAGATACAACTAGGGCTGTGCGAAGTTTTGGTCCCCGATTCGATTCGGCCTGATTCAGTGGCTGAATCTCTGAATCCAAATCAAATCGGAGGACCCTATAATCTCTCTGAATCAAATCGGAACCCTCTAAGTCGATTTGGAGAGATTCGGAAAGAATCGGCGATTCAGACATAGATGCAGCTTTAAATGTTTTTTCTACATGCCTTTAGGTAGCAGGCGGCTCATGAACCTTGTGATGCTGGGGTGCATGGAGTATCCCACAGAAGCACGTGGAGTGTCCCCAGTGCGCTTGGCAGCAGACCCGGAAGTGGACCAGAAGCACTTCTGTGTCCGTCGGGGAGCATGCAGGGGGCCCCCGCATATCCCCCTGGCTAGGCAACTAGTGCCTCCTGGGTCTGGGGGGGCACCCAGGGTCCCCCCATGGCTGATCGCTGAGCCAAAGGGGCATGGGGGGCCCCCTGCACGCTCCCCAACGGACCCGGCATTGGATCAGAAATACTTCCGGTCCACTTCCGGGTTCGCCACTGAGCACATGGAGCATCCCTGCACTCCTGTGGAATGCTCCATGCACCCCAGCATCACAGCATTCACAAGCCATTCTGGTACCTCAAGGTATGTAAAAAAAACATTTAAAGCTGTGTCTATGGCCAAATCGCTGATTCTCCGAATCAGCATCAAATCTTCAAATTTGGATTTGGCTGAATCGAATCAGGGACAGTGATCCAAATCAACAAATCAAATCACTGTCCCCAATTCAGGCTGAATCTAAATCGAATAGGACCTGCTTCACACAGCCCTAGATACAACCTGTTGTACTTTCCTAAAATGCATTTCACAACATCAATAGGCAAAATATATCTAGCAGTCTTGAAAGTGTTTACATTAAAGATTAGCCCAAAACAAACCTCACATCCCAAACCTCCAAATGATGCTGTTTAGTTATTGACCCATGTGCTTATTCAAAGTTTATTTGATGCAAGCAAGTAGGCTGCATTCTGTTCTCTTATGCAGTGCAACCTCCCCTGACTTCAGTGGGTTTTCACTAGTGTAAATGTGAGCAGGGTATATCCCACTGCATTGCCAGAACTGGCTATGGGATCTCATGACTGGCTGAATATTTTTGCACTGAAAATACAATCAGTGTGAGCCAAGATAACCTGAACCCTGGCAGAATATGATGTTTGGCAGGTCATAAACATTTTTGGCCAGGTACAGACATTACATTTTTACCAGTGTAAGTGATTGGAAACTGACCTATACTTGTAACAGAACAGAAGTTTGGAGCACACAGACTCATTTAAAAATGGCAGAGCCCCGTCTAATATTTGCCCCTCCCACCTCCTCTATGTCAAGGGCAAATGTGTGTTCTGTTCACTACTGATCTAAACTACACTACTTACAGAAAATCATATAACTTCAGTGACGTAACGTGGGTCTCTGGCACCCAGGGGCTAATGCTTGCATTTGTGCCCCCCCCACTTCTCATAGCAATACTTAAAGTCTCCCGCCCTGGCCCTGTTTGGTTTTCTGCTTTGGCCAGGAAGGAAATGAAAGTCCTGGCACACATGGGGGGAGGGGTGGTAGCCGGAATTTCCTCCCGAAACAGGTAAGTAAACACCCAACCCATGGAGCAGGCAGGCAAGTTACACAACAAACACAGCCACCACCCAGCTCTTTGGGGCCCCCCACGGCCACAGGTTCCATAGATAGGATGGGCCGGCCCTGGTCACATAGGCTGACACCCAGAGACCAGGCCCCTCCCCTCCCCTCCTCCCCATTGGTCTGCCACAGCATAACTTAGAATGATTCTGCCTTGGGCTTTTTGAATGTCTGCACCTAGCCTATATCATTTCTGCCTCATATTTCATAACAAACAACTTCCAGACAACCTGGGTATGAAAAGGATAAAAGAACTAAGATTAATCAAGAAACATCACTTGAAAGAGGAGTTCAGCTTACCATGGAGCAATTGGGTTTGGAGGTCAGGGGGGTTTTTGTTTGTTTACCTCTCCCCCCCCCCCCCCCCCCCATTCATTTTTGCTGAGCTCTAACCTCTCATGCAAGTCAAGCTGCTAAATCTAAAAAAGAATGTACTTGGTGATAGAATCTCTTTTGGCTTCGGGGACAGGGAAAGCTGAGGAGACTTCAGTATAAATACACTAAAACTTCAGAAAACACACAAATCTTTTCCTGTTCTGATGGAATATTTTTGCTTTTCTAATATAATGGCACATGCAAATTACTTCTAACTTTGGGTGCTACATTTTGCTGGCCATTTTCTTTTCTCCATTGATGAAAAATTTCCAGCATTCACTATTGAAATATTTGAAAGCTGAATAGTTAAACTGAAATTGATCTCTGGTTATTTTATAAGTCTTTCTTCATTATCACATAAATCATCAACCTTTAAACTAACTACTAAAAATGTCTTCTGCAAGAGTCTTTTGTATGCATCTCCTTAGCAACATACAAAGGAGCAAAACTTTCTGTTTTGACTGTATATGCTGTTTTATAGATGCCAGCAAATTATGTAGTCAGTATTTCATTTGTTAAATTTGAAAAAGACAGTGGCTGCTGTTGCTTTTGGAGCAGGAAAAAAGTATTGAGTGCCAAAGCCTGATCTCCATGTTAAAACTAAGAAATTGGAATTAAAGTAGATTTCCATGGCAGCATGGTTGGACACAGTTCTCCCCCTTTACGCCACTGAGGGGCATTATGGGTACCTCCAGAGGCGCACTGAATTTGTACCACACATTGTATTTCTTTACAAAGCCTCAAAACACTTTACAGCTATTAATTAATCACACCTTACATCCATGAAGTGAATAAATATTTTATCAGTTGTGAAACTGAAGCAGCCAGTATAAATTACTCGCCCTGGGTCATATGCTGAGTCAATGACAAAGGTTGCATTAGAACCTAATTCCCAGAATTAGGATGCTAATTCCCAAAACCATGCTCTAATCACTAAACAATACCACGACACTTGAACCTGCA